TGTGTGTGTGTGTGTGTGTGTGTGTGTGTGTGTGTGTGTGTGTGTGTACACCAGTTCTGGGGCTTGAATTCAAGGCCGTGTGTGTGTGTCTGTGTCTGTGTCTGTGTCTGTGTGTGTACCAGTTCTGGGGCTTGAATTCAAGGCCTTGTGCTCTCGGTGGGGTTTCTTGCTTGTAGCTAGCATTCTATCACTTGATAGATACTACATGGTGAAGGAAGTTGGAAAGCTAAAAGATGAAGCCCACTGATATTAAATAACATCCATTTTGGCAAATAGAAGGCAAAGTCATAATCAAAAAGAGTAACGGGTTGGGAAGGTGGCTCAGTGGTAGAGTGCTTGCCTATGCCTGAGGCCCTGGGTTCCATTCCTCAGCACCACATAAGCACAAAAAGCCGGAAGTGGTGCTGTGGCTCAAGTAGTAGAGCACTAGCCTTGAGCTGAAGAGCCCAGGGATAGCGCCCAGGCCCAGAGTTCAGGCCCCACAACCAACAACAACAACAACAAAAGTAACAGTGGTAGGTTTCAGGGTTTGGGACATCAAAGTGCAGAGGTTTCGGGTAAATAGGGCTGAAAGATAAGGTCTGAAAGAATTCACACCACAGGTGAGGGCCCAGTTCCGACTGAAGAGCAAGAAGTTGTAAAGGAACCAACTGGCCCTATTTTATGACTTTGTCCAGAAACACTTGGTACCCTGAGAGAAGTATGGGAGAAAAATGCAAGGTTCTTTCTGAAGGGTAGGAGATTGGCTGGACAGGTATAGTGGAAGCACGGAAAAGGTCAGCAGCCCAGGTTTCTTCTCAGGCACATTGTAGATTTCACTTGTTGTCAAGTTCAGGCAGGAAATGAAAGGTGAGGTCAGAAGGGGGAATGATAAGTAAAAGCAAAATGGGTGGGGTTCAGGAACTGGAGTTGGGTGGAGCTAGGATCCAAGAATGGGCACAGAGGGAAATGTAGTTTGGAAACCTCTCAGATTCCCAGCATCAGGTCTTTACTCTGCAGAGGACAGACAAGGCTCATCAAAAATTGCCATCATTTCACCTTTCCAGACTGATATCTTCATGTCCTTGAATGCACCCCGTGTTAGAAACACTGAACTCTACCCAATGCACAGAATACTCAAGACTTTTGTCTACCATCTTCCCATTGCATGTGCTATTCCTTTCTTATAACACGCTCTTCCTTTCTCTGCCTTGCTACCTCCTGCCTGTCCTGAAGACTCAGATCAGATGGCACTTGTCTGAGGTGTCTTTGCAGGACCATGCCCACCACACTGGGCACACCCCAGTGCCCTCCAATCACGTGGCCTTTCACCATAAGAACATTGACACATACGTCTCTCCTTGAAGTCAGAAACTGGTTTTTACAGTGCCAAACACAGTCAATATGTAATGTCTGCTTGTCATGGGTCTTGAGTAAATGAAGCAGTTGGCAGTACCCAGATGTTACTGTGTATTCAGACCACAGTCTACATCAGTAAACCGTGTAGAGGGTGTCATTAACAAGACTGGGAGAGCACTGTGGGGTGACTTGTATTTTAGAGCAGAAGTGGTGGGAAGCTGGGCTGCAGTGAAGGCATGTCTTCTGTGTAGAAGCCTGGCTAGAGGAAGGGGCTTCAGGAGTCAGGTGTGGAGATGAGGCAGAGGCGAGAGGTGTGAGGGCAATTTCACCATGAGTGGCATATCTACCAGTGCAGGAGGGAGTGTGAGAAACACCCTGAAGGGTAGGTACCACAGTGTGATGTAATGAAGGTTCTTTTCCTAAACCTGTTTGTAGGCTCAAAGGCATGAGCATTCTTTTTCTATTTTTAACCTCATAGATGACAGGAAAAAGCACTAATCATAAGCATTCTCTTCCCGCACAGACTCATGGATCTGACAGATCCAGCAAACCTAACTTTGAAAAAATGCTATAAGGAAAATATCTACTTTTCACATGTGAGAAATGCAAGCCCACTCAACTCCTCTCTCCCTGTTTCCATCCTGATGTATATATTCTTTCAGCTTTTCTCCATGTAAACTGCTAGACAGACACTTAAAATTCTACAGTGGTACTTTGCATGCATATTAATCTGCAGATTGTTTTTCTCACATAATACACATCATAAACATCTGTCCAGTCAGTGGACAGGGCTCTAACTTATTTTTTTCTAGCTACTTCTAAATAGCTGTGTATAAATATGGATGTCCACACTTCGTTCTCCCATTCTCCTGTTAATGGGCAATTGGATAATTTCCAATTTTTGTTTCTACAAACAGTATGGCCAAAAAATAATAGCCCTATTGTTAACTGGTGCCTCAGTAACACGGTGTGACTTTAACCAATCATGAATATGAAAAAATTCAGTATATATCAATGACATCTTTTAATGAGGCACAGCAGTCTGTAGTTAGTCCTGTGCTGTTCCACATAACAGCCACCAGTCCCATGTAGCTATATAAATGTACATTAGTTAAATGAAAGCTAAAAGTCTGCTCTTTACATTAAACTCATTTCCTGTGCTCAGCAGCTGCGTGAATACTAGTTATTATACAGAACAGCACAGAAGAGAGCCTTTGTCTCTTATAGAAAATTCTGTTCCACAACCTGGATGAGACACTCCAATATTACATTGTAAAGAACTTATTTTTAAATAAGCGGGATTTTAATAATAGTTTATTTAAAAGTTTCTTTTAAAATGTGTCTGTATTGGTCCCCCTGCAGTTATTTCAATGAGAATCAATACCCAGACGAAGCAAAGAGAGAAGAAATTGCAAATGCTTGCAACGCAGTTATACAGAAGCCAGGTAAGAAGGCCAGCTCAGCTCGCTCCACCCTGCCGGGAACTCCCTGTTGCACAAGCACTTAGGACCCGAGGGCCCTGCTCCTCCCGTGTGAATGCGCCCATGTGCAGCCATCGCCTGTCCTACCCAAGCACTTCTTGCAGGGATGTCACTGTCACACACGCACTGGAGGCGTTCGAGGGAGTGACCCCGGGGGAGATTGGAGAACTTGAAACGATTGCTTCTTTAATGCAGGGATTGCTTTTTCCAAAATTTACAAAGAATATATCAATTCAAAAATACTCTTAAGGTTTGAACTATTTAAACAAGTTTGGTTCATGAAATTCATAAGAAGATTGGAATAGTTTTTTAAAGCATCGTCATTAACTTGCGTGTGCATGCTCCTTTTGGAGGACAGCTCTTTGGAGCTGGCTTCGGTCTTCCCACATGGGACAGCTCCTGCTTAGCCAGGAAGAGCGTGGTGATCAATTTGAAGTCTTGTTCTTGTGTGTACCACTGAATGACTTAATACTTCCTATGTATTTTATTCCACGCTTAAATATTATTTCATATTTTATAGATTGTATTACCAGAGACCATTCTAATTGCTTTCTATTTGGCCAGTTGTTTTGTTTTAAAGACTGTATGCAAAAAACATCGGTGTCTTGTAACAGTTAAGTAGGAATCTCTTCTCCCATATCTAGAAACCAGACTTGTAGGAAGATTGGCCCAGTTCCATCCACACCTAAGTGTGATGAAGCTGGGCCCTCTTTTTACATAAAAGTCCCCACCCAAGGCCATCCAGGAACTTGAAAACACCTTTAACCCCATAGCATTAAGACTTTACCAAGTCTTGCTGGGCGCTGGTGGCTCACGCCTGTAATCCTAGCTACTCAGGAGGCTGAGATCTGAGGATCGCGGTTCAAAGCCAGCCAGCCCGGGCAGGAGAGACCCTGAGACTCTTATCTCCAATAAACCACCAGAAAACCGGAAGTGGCGCTGTAGCTCAAG